CTGCAAGGGGCCCAGAAAATCCACTTCCTCCAGGAAGGCTGGAAATTGGCTGGTAGCTATCTAAGATGGCCAGATCAAGAGCTTCTTGAGGAGAGGGTTCCCCACTCCCTCAACAAAGCTTTTCATCACTTCTGAATCCACTCATTTGTGCCTTTCCCAGCTGCATGGATTAGCCAGATGAGGCATAGATCAATTTTACAAGTAGCAGAGGTCAAGCCACAGAGAACTCTATCCACATTCTCAATCTTAACAAGCTCAAAAGAGTCCCAGGTTGTCTTGCAAGACATCCTAGTCATCTTATTAGACTTTATCCAAGTGATGTCAAATTCAGAACAAATGCAGGCCATTTTATCTGCAAAGGAAACCACAAGCATGTTATAGTAGCCTGCAAAAGGATCCTTGCTCCAGTCGTTCTGTAAAAGGGGGTCAGGTATTCATGAACAGATCTGCCAAATGCAAGTTCACTGACACAGTAAAGGTAGAGAAGTAAGAATGCTTTGACTCTCTTATAACCATAAAGCACGCTCAAATGTGGGAATGCAACTGGTGGGTTGGGTTCACTCTTAGTTTTCTTATACCATTGCTCTAGGAATCTTTTCATTTGTTTCATTTTCCATAGCTCCTCAGTTAGCCAAGTCGATTACCAAGATCTGTGAGGAAAGAGAGGTTGCTCAGGGCAATCTTGTCCAACACCCTTACTGTCTCTGCATTCTAGAGATTGGCACGATACATGGCAGAACCGCCTCCAAGACTCCTTGGAAATTTCCCTAAATGCCCTTAGAAAGCCCAAAGGATTCATTAGGCACCTGGGGTGGACCATTTTACCCAGTCCATTAAGTGATGTTATCAGTTTGCCTATTATTCCAAAAACATGTAGACTGATTTTCTGTTCTGTACAGTCTTGATTCAGTGGCCACCTTTCAGAAGCTTGATGGAGCAACCCACAATAAAGAGGGATAAAAGAATGCAATTTTCAAACTCACTTTGTTATGCTACATAACAGAGAATCTTTTCTCTCTTCCTCACCACTATTGTCAACCATACTGGGAAAACAATTTTGCCTTTCTGCTCCATTTACTGCTACAGCAAATGATGTGAATTCTTCCCCATCTCATACGAAAAGATACAAGCAAACTCAACATTTATTTATTTATTTATTTATTTAATGGGTACTACAAGTCTGGGATTTGACAACTTCTGGCAATACATTAACAAACTAATTTTAAGAGTTAGCAAACTGCCTTCATGAAGCCTGACTTGAAAGAGTGTAGCACACATCAAATCTTAACAGTACAAAGCACTTTACGGTATTGCCTGGCTTGTATACCTAGCCAGAATTTTCCAGTTAGTTAAATGGATTGGTTCTTGTGAATTATGACCAGTTGTATTCATGAATGATCCTTTTAAAATGAGGTAAGCCTAATAAACAGAGTATAGCATAGCAGTGCAAAGCACCAATAGTACCTGTTAATAATAATATGCACTATGGCAACTTAATTATCAAGACAGCAAAGACATTGTCATGTTTTGTATTATAATCTCTTCCTTCTTATTAATCATAATTTCCTAAGGCAGTAGTGAAAGTTAATATTTATAACATAAGGAGCATTCACTTTGAAGCACATTGTACTTAAGTTCTAACACTAATCCCTGATAACTTCCTTCTTTGATCTCAACCTTGGGAAACATATTTTATTATTAAGCAGGTTGGCTCCCAGTCATCCAGCAGCATCATTCAATAAAGGCGTTCTGAGACAGATTATGGAAGAATCTTAGAAGCAGAATGAAAATATTTGTCTTTGTTATTGCTGGAAACTTCCTAGGATGTGCAGCACATTTTTTACTTGCTATTTTTCATCAGTCTAACCCTCTGAAGGTCTAATTTCAGTATTCTAGTAACAACACAAACCGTACTATGTTCCTAATACTCAGAGCAGCTACAAATACAGCCTTCCCAAATCTAACATCCTCCAGAACAGTAGTTCTGAAACTGTTTTTCAGTTACCCAATTACCCCTTGCATGGTCTCCAAGAATGTTATTGCCTACACACACACAGAATTACCCTTGGTAATTACCCCCAGTTTAAGAACCACTGCTCCAGAAGTACTAGGATGCAACACCTAGAATTCCCCAACCAGCCTTGTACTCTGAGAAGGAAGCACCGAGTTCACCCATAGATGTCATAAATCTCCTTAAGGTCAACCTGGTTTATGGTGGGTATATGATCTCTTCTCTGTATAACACTGTATTGACACTGCATAACACTGGTTTAACATTGCAGGAAGTCATGAGATTTAAAGCAGCCCTCTCCACCTGGCACCCTCCAAGTATGTGCTAGGGATTCTGGGAATTGAAGTCTAACATAACTAAAGAGGACCAGACTGGGAAAGATTAGTTTATACCATTCACTGGGAAATGCTATAAATAGCACAATTCATCTTTATGGGGCACCATTCATTGCTAAACTCATGGTGAAATAATTATTGGGACAGAGTGTTATAACCTTGCTATGAGGCTTAAAGGCAATTTGGAGGTGTCACTTGGTCCAAAATGCAGACCTATTCTGTCATTTTGCTTAGTTTTGAAGTTAGTCACAGTACTATGACTGTGGCTGGCGTTTTCTAGGGCTCTCCGCTGATTATGGTAGAAATACCTTTCTGTATAGCTGCTACAATATCTTGGATGAGGGCTTGATCTCTGAATAGAGGATTCTGACTCTGCTGCCAGTTCTGGCCAAATGTGCTCCATGTAGGTGCAGAATTAGGAGTAGCCCAATTCCACTTGTCATGGGTTGGAGGGGAGGTTTAATAGCAATCCAGTCCTTGTCACTGTAATGGAATCTGAGGAAAGATTGCGCTGTTTGTCTTTGATATATGTATGCCTACCATTTGGTGTTCCAAGGATAAGAAGAAGGTGGGATATTTGAATGAGCACTCTTCTGGCTAGACAACAAAGATGAGAAATACCGCTGTCTCTCCCTAAGAGTTGAAAAAAAAATACCTTGGCTTGCACTGCCTCTGGGTCTTTGCCAGTTTGCCAACTGGCAGCTTTGAAGGATTTGAATTGGGCGGTTCCTGCCACTAAAAATAGTCTTGCAACGGAGGTCTTGTGTCTGAAAATAGCTGGGCCTTTTACTTGTCAGTCATTGGTTTGGGTATTATGTAGGCAGTGCTCTTCGTGGTCTTCTGCTGCTTGGCAGCCTTTGGGGTGACTCAGAAGGCTGTTCTGTGTCCGTAATAAAGATTTGATTTGAGTCAGAAGACTGAATGCTCACCCACCATTTTCTTAATAGTTATTACTAGCTAACGGAGTGATGCTTGTTCCCCCACTTTTTCCTTTAAAACCTTTTTTTTGGGGGGGGGAGGATCAAAGTCTTTGTTCTTCTTCCTTCTAAGCAAAACCTGACTTGTCCCTTTCAAAGCTAGCCCTATTCCTTTCTTTTCTCTATCCTTTTCTTGTTTTGGGAGAAAGACAAAAGTGGTTGCCTAGTCTCAGCTCACTCCCGGTGTTTTCCCTTGGTTACTCTTTCCTAAACTCAGTTCCTCTAGTTCAGTTGCCAAACTTGGATAGCTCTGAACAGAACCTTTCGTTGCAGCATCCCATCGTGCTGAATGTTGTGTTTTGTAAAGGGAGATCATGAAAAATTTTCATCGTTGCCTGAGTTCCTTGGTTCCTTCTGGGTTTAATAGGAACCGGAATAGTCCAACTCCTGCACAATGTATGTGCTAAGTTCCTCAAAAAGCATATTTCCCATTCTGTATAGCTTCTGTTGCAATTGGAAGGAAATGTATATTCATTTAAAATCCCTTTCCCTCTGTGTCACATGCTTGCTCCTATGTGTTGGATTAATTATGCCACTTTTAAGTTAATACAAAAATGAATAGGAAAGTAGAAACAGGAGGCTGCCTTAACTAGAATTGATGAGTTATGGCACTATCTCCTCCTCCCCCCCTCTTTAAAAATGTGTTTAAAAACTCTACACATAAGCCTTTTTTCTTTCTCCAGCTTTCCTATTATGTAAATCTATCCAGTCTTTCCCACCTGGCTCCTTTCAATTATCCTGTATTGCACACCAGCATCCTAATGGCCTGTAATTTTTCCCTTCCTCTCCCTTCTCCATTCCTCCTCCAGCATCTGCAGATAACCCCAGATCTGTTACTATCTCTAATTATCATAATACAAATTCTTCTGTTTGTCTTGAAATACAACGATCCATCTTGCTAAAATGATCCCTCATTTTTTCCTAGGGATTTCATGTTAGCTGTTTGTGTCTTGGAGTTTTCACTTTCATCCATACCACGGCCACTGGAAACAGTTTTATTTTAATTAAGATGTGATGGCTGTGATCTTTATGGCAAGGCTTGCAGAAAACTTTTTTTTTTCCATATTGTTTTTTGAGTCTTTCCCATTTAGGGATATGCCTGTCTTTTTCCCCATTGTGTCTAATGGGGCTTCAAATTAACAGAACTGCTTGTTTATTTGTTAGGGGCAGCAATCATAAAATCAGTTGGCATGGCTTTGAGTACAGAATCTTCTAGTTGCTACTGCAGAGGAAGTTGGAAAAGAATCTAGATGTACCACACCACCTTGGTACTTCCAAACAATCCTAGAAGCCCGGTGGAGACTATCCATGAATAAAAAAGTCTTACCAGTGAACATTGTAGGAGGAGAGCCGTATTAGGCTATGATATCCAAAAATAGGGAGGAGGTCTGGTAGCACCACATTTTATTAAAAGGCAACGCTTCATGCTCACAAATGTTTATGCTTTCTAATAAAATTTGGTTGTTTGAAAAGGTGTTCCTGACTTTTGGCAGATCACGTGAAATAATTCAGAACTTCCATAGTAATGATAGCATAAGTCAATCACAACTCCTGTGGTGCTAGGTGACAAGTTCAATGGATCCTGCAACACCTGTACATAAATGTTCTTTTTTAAACTTTGAATTGGATTTTTTCATAAGAAATTTAATGCCTTTTTTTTTTCTGTTGTGCTTGCAGAGCTGGGAGACCTTAAAGAGTTGCAGACACTGGATATCTCAACCAATCATTTGATCACTTTACCTGAAAAACTGCACATGTGCCTCTCCCTTCAGTACCTCACTGCTGACCAAAATCATCTCTGGTACGTCCCTCGCCATCTTTGCCAGCTTCCCAGTCTCAATGAATTGTCCATGGCTGGAAACCAGCTTGCCTTCTTGCCACTCGGTGAGTGCTGTTTTGGCTAATTGAGAATTAAATTCTGAAATATATGGGGTGGGGGGTAGTTATGAAAGGAGGCAAATGAGATAACTTTTATAATAGAAATCAAAATGTATCTGATATATAATTAATCAGAGTCTTCCAGTTTTACACATTCTGAGTTCGTGAATTATGCTAAACCAAAGTTTGTTTCTATGAACCCGCAATTAGATGAGTTCATAGAAATTAGATAGACACAACGAGATAGACACAAAGCCACAATCCACGCTTTATAAACCAGGGTGGCTGGATTCCCAGATCATGTTAAGCCTAACAGAATAAATTGTACTATGCTTTATTGGCTGATTTTTAATAAACTGTCAGCTTAACCCAAGTTTGCAGTTTGTCAGCTTCACTGAAGAATTCCACTCTTTAGATGTGGTTTTTACCTTTCAATGTGCCACCTACGTTGTTCAGTCATACATGGATGAGGAGAATAATCATAAACAAGCCTATGATGACCAAAGCCAGTCAACTTCACATTTTTTATTTCTTTTCATTCTTCTAAGATTCAATTTATATCTACTGCACATTCTTAAATCCCTATTAAAAAGTGGGGATTTAAGTGAAAGTGTTCTTAACATAATAGTTGCTTTGGTTCATCTACTTGATTGCACCTACGTGGCTCCTCCTGCTCCTGAACAAATCATTGCCAGTTTCACAAGCTCAGAGGTGTTAATTTATAATTTAATGTTATGTACAGGCTAGGAACTATTTCCTTCAGGAAGGCATTTGGCTTAGAATCATATTATATGTTGCTTTTATTTGAGCTGCGTATTGTCTTTACTTGACTCATTCAGCTGGAATGACTGAAGTGAAGTTGTGTGAATTTTTGAAACGATTGTGATTAAACACTGAGAAAATTAAAGCATTGGGTCTGATGCTGGGCCACTTTCCCTAATTAGCAGTTGTATTGATTCAGGTATAATTTCAGTACTCTAAAAAATATTCCACAATCCCATATTTGAATTTTAGAATGAAGACAGAGACCTCAAGGCAAGCTTTTTTTGAAGGAACTAGTCATACCTCTGAAAATAACTTCAGACTGTGTGCTCGAATTTGAAGGATGTACACACATGAAAAGCTTTCTGGTTTGGGAATGGATGTCCATGAAAGATCTTCTGGCTTGACATATGTTGGAGACACTTTTCCACAGAGAGATTTAGCCATAATTTGGTTTATATGGCTACAGATATACACTTGGGTTACCTTCCACATGTTTGAAATGTGAGGTTTCGCATTCCAGGCTGGTTGGAATGACGTCTTCTAACGCTTTAAAAAAGAAGCAGCCACATGTTAAAAATGGGCTTGGTGGAAATAATATAGGAGTTGAGTTGAATGCATACATTTAGAGAGGCAAAATTGTATGTATGTATGCACTGCCACAGATTAATTTAGCATATCTTGATACAGAAATGATTCTTCTAGAAATATCTTTAATTCTTTTGGCATCGGATCAGATTATCTTTAAATACATTCTGAGTCAGCTTTCATAAGCTGTTGTGCCCATACTGAAGATACATGGCCTAATCATAAGCCAAGAGCAGATAATGCATAAATGCCACTGAGAGTGCTACTCATAATATATATCTGTAACTTATCATTGAGACTTTTTTTTCAAGAGCAGTGACAGTGGGGCAAGAGAAAGCATGTATATGTTTATATGTATATATAAATATATGCACACTTGTATATACATAGGGAACCAGGGAAAGTAGCAATATCCCACTAGCCCTCTCTCTTGAATAGTCCACTCTTCAGAAAATGGGGAAAGGGTATTTGTGGCATCTTCAAGAATAGCATGGCAAGTCCTTTCTTTGGAGAAAACCATCTTTGTAGGATTGGGGAGCTTAACTGCTTAGCATCTCAGCTAAGTGATAATCACTAACTCATATTTTTCAGTTGGTTCACTGTCTCTCTAAGAAGTAATATGGCTTTCTTGTTTTTAGCTTCTCACCTTGTGCAAATGAACCCAACCATTATTGCTATTAAACCAGAGTTTATTGCATAGCAAGCTGTGAGAACCCAACCAGTGCTTTATTCAATATAGCATGGTTTAACCAACCATGGTTTAGCATGATGCATGAATCCAGTCTATATTTCATAAATTCTACTTTATCCTTTAAGGAAAGGCGGGGGTAGGAATTTTCTAAAGATCAGGGGCTATAGCTTGCTCCCCCAACCAACTGGATTTATGGCACTTAAGGGATGTGACATCACAGGAAGAAATGGAGCTGATATTGGGAGGCCTGTTTTCCAGAAGTTAAGGGTGATATGGAAGTGGGAAACCTCTGTGAAGAAAAGTGTTTCTATTTTCACCTTTTAACACCCCCCCCCCAAGACAGCTCAAGATCATACTGCTGAAATTCAGTGATAGAATAATGGTATTTGCAGCATAATTTCAGACAGTCTAAAAGGTAGCTTAAGGATGGGAATTGGAGTGTTTTTCCTACGGTAGGCATCTCTCATTTTCACCCTCATTTTGGAAGAAGAGAAAAGCAAAACAAAAACAAGAATCACAGCACCAAGAATCTGGCCATTTTGCTGCCAAATTTCAGCAGCCTGTTCTTGGAAAGCTTTGTGGCTGCAAGTGTGCTAAGGGCCACCTGCAGCTTTTGAGTTGCCCACCCTAGTTTAGAGTATTCTTGTGCCAGCCCATGTGTTGAGGATTCTGCTCCTTTTTTTATAACTGAAAGGTTTCTCATTTCCTTTCTTTGCTTTGCGTGTTGTGTAAAATAAACTTGTAAACACTTAAAAAGTTGGTGTTTGAGCTAATCCATGGAAATCCCAGGGCTGTTGCCTAGAATGGGAAGTCAAAAAAAGAAAAGAAAAACATCCTGGAGGAGGATAATGGGAAATTTCTTCTGTATGGCAGTCAGGCAAAGTGCATGGACATGTCCATGAAGTCACCAGGGTTCCCGGGAGACTTGACTATTTCACCTTTATGAGATTGTCATTCCTGATTGTTTGTAAGCCCAAGTACTGCTTGAACAGATGAGTCTTTATCATTTGTGAATCTACATAATAATTAGAACTAATAATTCTAATTTCTAAAGTGGACATTTATTATTTCATAAGCAAGTGAAGCATTCATCCATACAACTGCTACCTAAACACGTGATCTCACAGAAAAGATCTTGTGCCGTTTTTTAAATCATACACATATAGCACAAATCCTTGCATTTGTGGATGGAGGTTCCTGCAACTTACTTTATTATCCCACAGTATATAGCTTTTCTGCTTTCACAGTAAGGTTAAAAAATATCAGGGCAGACATATAAGACCTTTTGTTCCATGTTCAGCCATGTGGAAGGCAGATGGCAATGCCTTGAGGATAATTTGTTAAAAGTATAGTTGAATTGGGGTTTGTTCAGGACTCATGCAATTTGGTCAGATGAAGTAAAAAGTCTTTGATCTCTTACTGTAGGAGGAGGAAAATGGAAAAGTTGTAGACAAACTGCACTGCTTTAAAAAGCTACATGAAAACTTCCTTTTGTAACTTCAAATACCCTAGCTTCCTATGTCTGTGAAGCCTGAACGGAACATGTTTAGGAAAGAATCTTTTTAGTGTTTCTTGCATGACCAGAAGTTTAAAATTTTAATGAGAAGAGTCACTTACAAGAGCAGCTACTAAACATTTAGAAAGCCTTTGTGTGGTTTGGTTTGGCTTGGCTCAGCTTTTAAGGTCATTAAGAATTTTGGATGGAAAAGGAACAAGTAAAGATATGATGGATGTGCTGCTAATTCAGATGTGTGTACCGTGGCTCTCAGTTGTGGAAGGACTTGCATCTACAGAGTCTTCTCATAGTGCACTAAAAGTGGGGAGAGAATCATGGAAAATAATAGCTATTTATTGCTTTTTTTAAAAAACAGGTCTAGGTTGCATTTTCACTGCTTAGGAATGTTTTTAAAAATCCTACAAGATTTGAAAGTTTTAATAGCAAAATTGAAATTATACTAACAGTAAAAGTACAGTGGTACCTCGGGTCACGAACTTATTTCGTTCCGCAACTCTGGTCGCGACCCGAATTGATCGTGACCCGAATCAAATTTTCCCATAAGGTTCAATGT